ATAATCAATCACAGTTGATTATTCCTCGACCATAAGGAGAATAATCGAATGTGATTGATCAATTTTATGCAGCGTTTTTACTCAATTGTCATTTATAATTACATTTGTTTTTCTAATATTCACTTATTTTTTATTGCCCTGAATTTGCATTCAGGATTATATTATGTTATTAAACTTCTAAGTTTGTCTCTAATAACATAGGCTATCACTCCTGCAATTCCTATTTCTAAACGTTAAAATTTAAGATTATACATTAGTCATAGAAAATTATCCACTGTCATTTGGAAAACATAGGAAAGTCGGGGAATTTACAAATTTATTTTCTGTAACAACCCTAAATTTACCACGATCTCAGTTTTCTTCGTGAAAGAGTAGATATAATAAAATAATAAAAACGAAAAGGCTATTGTATTTAATTTGCATTATACGGTTTTATGCCGGGAGTAAATAATGCAACGCATTTACTCGGGACGAGCCGTGTACTCGATTAGTACGATTTAATTATTGCTCGCATAATTTTGTGATTATAAGACGACTCTCGATGGCATTATCGAGTCTGTTATCCAGCACGTATCACGTCGCTTCGCACACAAAAGCACAGAAATGCTGCGACCCTCAGCTACTACAATATTTTGTTTTTCCCATGAAGTTATACATCTCTGTCCCGTTACGGGGCGTCGTAAGGGTGGCGCGCGTGACACACCCCCATTCAAGTCCCATGCGCGGGATATACTTAAATTAAACGGACGCCGGTGTCGCATTATGACACAGAATAGCAAGTTATATCTAACCTCTCATTAACCCCGTGTGAACCCGGCTCGGCACCCCACGTGAAAAACGAGACGTCGATTTTCAAACTGAAAATCTGCAGAGGAGGGGGCGGCTTCATTACGGGTTATGGCGAAACGCGAGCGACATTCTGAGCGGATTCATATTCGCGCACGTTGATTCATCGGGCGATGTATCGCGCGTTTTGCAGCGTGCGAAAGAATTAACGACAATTACTCGCACAGTCAGCCCGATCACGGGCGAGACGCGGCGGCTAAACGATGTAATACAAAAATCAGCGGCCCGACAAAAACTTTCGCCAAGAGATAAACTGGTTACGAAATCACACGATATCATAGATAAAAATACTAGCTTTTTGCTAACTACTATTGAGCCGAGTCGCTCGTAAAAATGCTGAAAACGGATCCCCTTAACCAAATAAAGCCCTTACCGGCTGACGATCGATGTTACAAATATTTGTTGATTTTTCGGCACTAGTCGAAACGACGGTAAACAAATCAGAGCGCGATTCGTCGATGCACGAGCCGCGCGCCATTCCACGCGAAGTACGCGATGATCCCTACAATGCCTATTTTCTATTTCTTTCGCTATTTCCTCTCTCTCTCTCTCTCTCTTTCTCCTCCATTCTCCCTCTTTTCGGGGCCCGTTTCACGCTTTTCCTTACCGCGGGATCTCCATCTCGGGTCCTTAAGCAGCTAAGAGCCCATGATCCGTCATCGGCCGGAAGAGGAGATCGAGCGCAGGGACGCGCGGCGAAAGCCTCGAAAACTTCTTACCGCAACAATGGCGCGTCCTGATTTTAAAAAGATTCCGCGAGGCTTTACCGTCACTTTCACACCTCCCCATGCTCGGGGTCGACCTGAGATCTACTACAAATACCTGATGGGCGTCGTAATCTCCGACGGGGTGGCTGCGGGGCCCTCTCCCGCTGTAGCGGGAGGCCCCTCCGCTCCGTGGCCCCATTATGATATTCGCCGCATTGTCGGAGTGTCGAATCTGTCTACAAATAACCACTAGAGAGAAATGGTTACTCAGTCGCTACTCTCTTTCGCCTGGCCCTTCTCTCCGTTCCGCTCCCTTGGCTCCTGCATCTCGCTCGCTCGCTCGCTTGCTCGTTTGCTCGCTAGCCGTTCATCGCCCTCTACCCCCCTCACCACCGCTCTCATTCCACGTCTCTACCATTCAGAGTGGACTACATTATTTCGTTGTAAGTCCCCGGCCACACCGCATTATCCTAAACATCTAAATCCGGACAGCTGTGAAGCCCGGCCAGCGGCTCTCCGCTCGATCCTGCAGGGTCCCGTTTCGATCCACACTTCGAAAACGTATATTTATGTTAGATGATATTTCGGAAAACTGATTGTGATCGAATATTATATGTTATTCATTATCGCCTAATTGTGGTTTCTAACACGAAGCACGGGCGATCGATGAGCGACTTTTACGTTACATACGTTCTTTATGATTCGATGTACTTTTAATACGATGCATAGTTCTCAGAATTCTGTGTTGTGCTTAAATTTCAGTAATTTTTCCTAATCATTTGTAGTTACAACCGAGAACGACTGCGTGTACCTGAGAATAATTTATCAAACATTTACCTTGTTGAGTGTTTTCCCGCGAGCTTCGTGCGACGAATCGCACTGTCGAGTGAAGTCTGCACGCTGCATGAAGAACGACCGAAACCGCTTCGCGATTGTTTACGCCAAAGCGTGTCTCGAGAGACACGTTCCGCTACCTTGACGTCGAATGAGAACCACTTCCTAATGAATGCGCCAGAGGTGTCAGAGCAGCAACTGTCAAAACACGACCGGCAAGACGGCGACCGTGCCATCGAGCGAACGACGGAGATAAACGATAGCAGGGCGAGGGTAGACGAAGACAGAGCGGACCTTTTCACGCCATATTGGATGTACCTTGAAAACGGTGCACGCCACCGGAGCCTATCGATAATCGCGACACTCATCTCTTTGTTCTACCGTACGAAATTCCTGTGCGAGCAGCGCGTGCACGCACCGCACACATTCACGCACAATGCGTGTGTTTTTGCAGAACGGTGCGTGCAGTTGTCCCGAGGTCGTTGCGTAACGTTTTTCAACATTCCTCCCTCACCCCCGCTCCTTCTCTCTCTCTCCCACCCTCTGTCGCTCTTTTGTTGTGTTGTCGATACGATCGACTAGCGTAAACCGTCAGTTTCTTCACAAATGGGTTACTACCCTCGCGACTGTTTCATTCGGCGTTCCCCGTCGCGAAATATTTTTTCCCAATGCGCGGATTGTACAGCAGAATGCGCATCGCGCTTTCTGTTTCGCCAAGTCAATCGTATCTTTAATTCAAACGTTCATTAGCATTCCGAGTTTCCTCGCAGCTAACATTTCACCGAATTTTATACACACCGGTAATTTCACGAGCCAATCGATATTCTTCATTCTTTTGCATAAAATTTCTTCCACCGAATCACGATAGGGTTTATTCATCGCGTCTCATCGTACCTGCAAACGTTTCTCACGCGTGACGTGTCGCACGCCTTCTCCGGTGCAACTCGCATGAGCGAATTTGGCGCGTTGAGAAAATAAAAAACCCCGACGACGACAGACACGCGGACACCGTGCTCGCGATTTCCCCCGTGAAGTCACCGCGGCGGCTGAAAGCCGCCTCAAGCCGACTCGGATCGGAAACGCGACGTAAAAGTTCGCGAGTATTGCTCCGTACCCCCGCACCCCAACGACTCCATCTTCGTGGCTGGAAATCTACCCAGCTGCCGAGCACTTTCGAAGACGAAGGGGGAAACCCGTCGTGTGACAGAAGAGGAGGAAAACAGGAGGGAGAGGCTGACGAGAGAGAAAGAGGAAGCGGCCGCATGTGGAGGCATGAAGGCAGGGTGGAGTCGACGTCGCGAGAAAGAGAGAGAGAGAACTTAGGCGTGCGCTGTGGGCATATCGGCCTTTCGGGAGAGTCTTGGTCGATGTTCCCTGGTTCCTGGTTAACCCGCGGGATCGGTTACAAGGCGAGCCGACCATCCGATTGGTTGATTTTGTCAGCGATACCCGCCCACACGTTATCGCGCAACTACTCCGTCCGTCTGCGTCTTGCCTTTCGCGCTTTTCTCTCTTTGTTCGCGCCTCTCTTCTCCTCCCACGTCGCCCTTTTACCTGTCACACTGGTCTGATCTGGCCATTTGTTTCTCCCTCACCGTCGCGCGCCTGCTGATAATCCCCAAGTCCTACCTTCGTCGCGCGCGCGCGCGTTTTCGTGCCTCGATCCTACACCAACTCGCTTTTGACCTTCGACGAATAAAAAAAGGATCGTGTCCGGAACACGACTCTAAGATCGTTAACGGCCGGTGATTCCGCAATTTTTCGTCGGCGCACTGTGGAAGCGTGTGACGTGCGAACCTGTGGAAAGAACGGGCGATTTCAGCGAGGACGTGCTCTTTCTCTCTGTCTCTCCCCTTTTCTCCTTCCTTCCTTCCTCCCTCTCGCTCGCTCCCGCGGTCGCGCTCATACAGTATCGCTTTAACCGGTGAAGCACGCGAGCGTAATGAGGGAGAAATTGGCAAATGGGAGATTTCGTGGAAAATAATAATTATCCTTTTCGATTGCGATCGTAATCGAGTAAATATTGCGCTCGCCGTTAGGAATAACACCGGACATTTATGATGTAACGACAACGGCGCGAGAAGCGCGCGGCTCGAACTTGCGGTAGCAATTTTGTTTATGAGATCGCGTGTCCGACACGTTGTAGAATGGCGCAAATGTTAAGCCATTTTAATGCGTCGATGCGTTTAACACGTTCCATGGATTACGCGCGAAATTTGCCACTCCGTTTAACAGTCAGGACGGCGCAGGACGTATAATGGATGCGAGGATGCGAACAAAATACTCATGATGGTCTGTTGTAATGTCATAATAATCTGTTATTATATATTTGCGCGAATGTATGTACAGGCGCACAAATAATATTTTAATAATAATATTAATAATATTAATAATATATATATAATAATGTTCCATTTCTTTCTTCTCCTTTTTTTTCTATTTCTTCTCTCTCCTCCTCTCTTATATTTATATATATATAATTTTCGTGTGTGTTGATAGTCTTTATGTAAATTACATGAGTCTTTACCTATAGTATATGTATATATACTGTAGGTGTACTATGTATATGTATATTATATATACGTATAGTATACATACTGTTTATTTTCATATTTATATCTTCGGACTGATTATACAAGAATTTTGCTAAACGTGTCTATCTACAGAGAAAGGGGCGAAAAGCGCGAGATACTCTTCTTCTCACGCGCTAAACCCGGCAATAATGCAAGCGGTCACGTCGCGGGCCGCCCGAGTCGAAATTTTCATTCTACGTTAATCCCGCAAAAATGCGTCAAATGTGAACGGATTTTTATATTGACCATTGAAGAATCTCGTGATCCCTTAAATTCGACGGAATTGGCGCGATTGATGTAGAGCCGAATTTCTACTCGGGTAAGGTAACGTTCGACTCTCCTTGTCGTTGTCTGTCTCAGTTAAAATTATAGAATTCACTTTGACTTGACTTTTTTCTAAGAAAAACATGCAGACTTGTAAACTGCATAATTAACTTACACACACAACGACGTCGTCGAATATACCATACGATGATTATCTTCCTTACTTACTGCAGCTGTTAGCGCGCGACTCTTTTGCGCAATCGGTCGCGTCCTCCTCTCGTTTGCTGCCGACTTCGACGCGTGGCTGTTGTGCGATATCGTTCAATAAAAAAAAAAAAATAAAAAAGGGAAGGATTGGAGAAACGCAGGAGAGAGAATCGCGCGTGTTGTCCGCCGCGTCATTTTCGCGGGTTTTCCTCGATACCGGTACCGTAGGCAAATTCCATCTCGGAGTTCTCTCGCGTTTCGTCGCCTCGTGCGGTAGATCCGATCGCCACACTCTTCGGCACTCCGAAACGTCGGCGTACAGTTCGCTGCTTAATTAATCGATCACGGAGATACGGCTCGCGATAAAGAGAGAGAGAGAGAGCATCGGGGGTGGGAGGACGCTAAGAAGCGGCGCTATTTACAAACTATGGGGATCCCACTGTATACGCTATGCGTGGTTCTTGGGCTTTCGACGAGCGGGCGAGTCGGAAACGCCTAAGAAAAAGTTATGTACACACACCACCACCACCACCACACCCTGACCGTCCGTTCTCTCCTTCGTAGCCGAGAGGATTGCACTTATCCGATGGACATGTACTCACTTTTCGAAGAGTCTATTCTGTCCGTCCGTCCCCTTCCCCCCTCCCCTCCCGCACGTCTCGCGATCGGGGATCGTTTCTTTGCGCGAGCTGCTTCTCGACGCACACGTCACCGAGCGGAGGAGAGAGCTTCCCCTAAGATCTAAAGCGTAATGACACTTGGTATTCTCGAGCGGCGATTCTTTCGTTAACGATACCACGTCGTTGATTCGTTTTCACATGCGCGTTGCGTCGACCGTTCCCCAACCACTTGGAGTTTCTTCTTCGACGAAGCAAATTGGTGCGTCGCGGAGGGGCAACTGTCCTCGACTAATCCTCGCGCGATGACTCCGTCGCGTCAGTCTTCACGAAGTTAACGGAGGACCGATTCGCCCTTGAAACTTCCACCGACCGACTCCGTTCTCCGGATCGCCGTTACCATCTCCTTCGATTCACGAGGACTTCACTCGCAAGCCAGATTGTCGTCCGGTAATAATTACCCCCGTGTCTTCGCAGCATAGTTCCGAACGAACGTCCGCTCGCTCGCTCGAAGTCGTGATCGCGCGTCGACTGCGATTTACCTCGACGTCACACGGCATCATCGTTTGCCCCAAGGATGGCGTTTCTTCTCCTGTCGCTCTCGTCGAATCACGAGGGTGAGAACGGTCTGTGAATCTGCGGTCTCGGATTCGGCAGCGGCGGCGGCGGCGGTGGCGGCGGCGGCGGTGGTGTGGCGACCCTTATCAGACCCTGACTCTGAGGTTGACCCTGAGGTGTCTGCTGCCGGGGGGGCGGGCTGCCCCGGGAGGAGGGGGTGCCAGGGCTGGGCACAGCCACCCTCAAGGGACCCGCGACCGAGAGGTTCGCCGCCAGCAATGGCGGGCTGTGGGCCTCCGACAAACTGTCCGACAGTCGCGAGAGCCCACCGTCGGACAGCCGCGACGTCTCGGATATCCTGGATATCCCATCGGCCAGCTGGGGGTGCGGGTGGTGTAGCAGGCCCTCGTGCGGGTGGAGCCTCGGTGGGGGCAGTCCCAATGGATCCGGTAATCTGTAATCGAAAAGAACAAGGGCGTGGGTTGCGACATTCGGGGGAGACGTTTGATATAAAAGAGTTGGTCTTCGAGTTGTAGCTGAAGGTAGAATTTAGCTTAGAATCGTGATATCTGTTGTAATTAGCGCGCAGCGTCTTATCGCGACGTTAATTCAAGAATATCGATGAATCTTAATTACGCGTGAACGAGCTGTGATAATTTTATATTTATGCGGTGTTGACACGTTCGTCTTAATCTCGCGATTAACAAAGAGACTTTGATAACAAAGAGATCAGCTGCTAACTCATAACAGCTGATACCTCGATCCTACATCACCCCTGGGCCCTATAGCCTGGAAAGGGCTGGTCTCCGCGATCCTGAAAATCCCTCCGCTCGGCATAGTTGGGTGATTAGGCTGCGGACTGTGCGGTCCGAATCGGAAGCCCGTCGGCGGAAACTTGAAAGGCGTTGTATGGCCGAACCGAAACTGCGGCTGCGTAGGATCGAAACGGAAATTTAAGGAAGGAGTTGGCAAGGGTCCGAGAGGTCCAAGCGGCACCGGGGATGGTTGATGGTTCGGGGGCGGCGAGGCATTCGGTGACGCTGGTGATGCTCCTCCGAGGGAAATATCGGAATCCTCGGAATCGCTGCCACCGGGTCCCGGGCTCAGGGTGCGCCGTGTGTTTCCGTTTCCTGGGCCTGATTGCTGTTGCATTCTGAAAAACAAGAAACGTACGCAACGTTTTATGACGGTCAGTCGAATACGAGTTGCTTGAATTGTCGAGGAGGATTGCGGTGAACGAAAAAGAACATGAGGAATCGCAAATCAATCATCGATCGGAGATTGCTCAGTATTCATTTATAACGAAGAGAAACCACGAGTGAAAATTTCAAAACGAAAAATTATACACTGAGAAAAAGTACTACCGTTCAAGTAATATTCATATAATCCGAGTAAAATGGTAAAGTTAATAGATATCCTCTTAAATTTAGAACTATTTTACACTTACATTCAATAATTCATTTACAAATTAAGGTATTACTACGTTCAAGTAAAGATTTACTACAAACTATTAAAATACGCTTAAACTGATAGAAATGTTGATTTAGGAGACTGAAAAACAGGTAATTATGTTTACTTGATTTTAGCATTTTTCTCTATACAACGGGCAAAAGGGGACCAAAATTGATAATATATCATTTTATATTTAGATCCTATCTGTTGCCTATAATCGAAGAAATCGCAATCATTCACGCTGACCGCTAATGACCCGTTCGAAAAGCTCCGCAAGTTCGCGATTTACCATTCGTTGCGCGAGCTTATCCTGCATACCGTGTTGCGTAGGATCAAAGAGAATCTTCTATCTTTAACTTCAACCGGCCCGTCGCCTGCTTACGCGAGGTCAACGAAGGAGGTCGTTGGCTATTTGAACTTTAGTTTGTGGCCAGCTGCCCGGCAGCAGCCGAAGCACAGAGGAGGACGCGTAGGTGTGTGCTTGGTCGCGGTGGGAATTCTAATTCGCCTGCCGCTTATAGGTGGCACATGCATATACGTATACGCATGTGGAGCTGCACGTGGATGTACACGCGGCGTTGAAAACACTTTGTTTCCAGTCATCGCGCCGCGCAAGAGCGTCTTGCTGTAATTAATGAGCGCGCGCTCATCCTTCCCAGGTAGAGGCGAGGATTCACGGGAGAGTAACGACGATTCCCCGACGACGGCTCTCGCACGAAGTGGGGGGGATCCACCTCATTACTCGGCAGATCACAGACAGATACGGAAAAGCACGCTAAACTTCACACGCGCGCGCGCCGAATGACGAATGGCCGTGTGTGTAACGTAACCCCGTGTTCCGCGACGTGCACGTCGTCGCCGTCGTCGTCGTCGGCGGGAAAATATTATGCCGATCCGTTGCTCATTACGCCACAGTACCGAGGTGCCGCGGTTGTACCCCTCTTCCGCTCCGAACGGCGCATCCTTGAGGCGACAATTAAAGGGTACAGATTTCGTCGTGCGATATCCCGCGTTGGATTAGAATTAACTCGTTAACGCGGGATTCGCGAATCCGCGATTGCGATCTTGGGAATCGCGGGATCCTGCTCCCCGATTCGCCGTGGCCGATCGATCGATGGGAATAAACGCGGCGAACACGCTCGAGGTTACGACCGAGGTCGCCTCGGCGAACGTCGTTGAGAGACGCGCCCCCCCCCCCGTGTCTCGCTCTTCGCCACTTCGGTAACGAACACTGAACTCTATACTATACTGCGATGTTGGGTGCCATGTTAAGAAGCCGGGGTACGCCAGGGTAAAGGATAGCTAACATAAGTACTATTTCTTTCTCTGCCTAGTGATTTCTGATTCGTCAACGATTTTCTATGATCTTTTCCACAGACATTCGAACGTATCAATTTACTTGTGAAAAGTGATTCGAGCCATATTGTTCATAGTTTCTGCAATTTTTCATGACTCGAAAACTTGAACATTTTTTTGTTTATCCCATTCCTCTCCAGTAATATTATAATTTTTCAATTATAATTTTTCAATTATACGAAGGTTATGAATGCGATACTTGGAATGAGCTGGTATTTTCAACTGGAATAATACGATATTGGAAAAGAATGCAGATAGTACTTTTCTTCTCTCTCTCTCTATTTCTTTCTCTCTGTCTGTCTCATTTCGCCTATTTCCTTCTGTGGCACCTAGCATTCCAGAATATTGAGTGCTTTCCATCTGATGACACAAGCGTCACCCTATCTTTGTTGCTCATTGAATATGGAACAAAGACAAAATGATGCTCGTGTCGAGTGGTGCCACTAAATGGAAAGCTTTTAATATAGAGTTCAGTGATAACGAACGATCGTGTTTATCGCCTATCGACACGGGGTGAGAAAAATCGCTCTCACTTGGAAATACAAGCGCGAATGGAGGCGCGCTTTCGTTCGCGGGACTCGTCCGCCGAAGACAATGAGAGGCGGTCGCGGTCGTCTTAAAAGCCTCTCGGCCGCAGATCGATCCCGTGGAGCGGGGCTTCCGAGATCCTCTCGTATTTTCTTTGCTAATCGAGTCTCGAGTCGGACCCGTACTGTTACCACGGTAACGCCTCCTCGAGAACCAGGGAAACGTCGAATTGTTCGTCTTCCCTCTCTTTCTCTCCTTTCTCCTTCTGTCTCGCGATCGCGAGAAAAAAGTCGATCGCGACAAGCGCGACGGCGACTCCGGAACCGCGAGAACGCATTCGGGGTGCGCATCGGGATTACATTCGCGAGAGTTCCTTCAAGTTCTCCGCCTCGGTTCGGGAGAACCGATAAGAGATTGCCGGTGACGTTTCCGTCATTGTTGAGTTTGTTGATTTTTCAAATCCGATTAAAACGCTCGTGCTTACGCGGATGAAGCATAAGAAATCTTGGTTGGAGCCGGGGAAGGGTTAATAGTGTTTCTCGCGCGTGCGTTATCGCCGCTCGTTCCGAAATGCGCCCGCCGCCCGAGATGGTTATTTAATTAACTCCATTCTATCTCTTTGTCTTAATGCGTCTTGCATTTTACAATTCCGCGGCGAATATTCATGTAAGCTCCCTTTTCATTGCGCCTAATGGCGTACTCGGATAAATTAATACGACGCGAGTCCCTCTCCGGCGGACGCGTTAAAATAATCTTCGATCGTGCATAGTGCCGTACTACGCGAGACCGCGGAAAGGGAGATGGAGAGCTTAAAAAGTACGCCGATGTTAATCGGATAAAATAGCGTCGTGTTCTTGACAACGCAATCGGAACTCGATCGTGGGCTGAATTATACTCGTGAATAATGAAATAACTGACCGTGAACGTGCGCGTCGCACGCGTACGATTTTGATTTTGCGCGACAAACGAAAGACAAAAGTGCGGCTCTGTATCAAGATCCCCCCTTCCCCCCTTCAGTAATTCAAGATCCCGCCGTCACACGAGCACATGTAATTCCTTTTTATCGCCCGTACGTTTTTCAGCTTTTTGCTCACTTATCTCTTCCAGCCCGTTATCCGATTCGTTCCCCCCGTACGCTTATCCTCGAAACTTCCGATCCGCAATTTTTCGCGCGTACGACACGTGCTTTTTTGCAATATCAAATCTCTTTCTCTCTCTTTGTTTTACTGATATCCTGAACTATCAACTTTTTCGCTCACATATCTCTCTTCTCTATTCATGCCTATTTGACTTTTCTTTAGGATTCATTGTAATAATCACGTATTTTTTGCTAATCTATCTCACTGGTTCTGCTATGGTTGCAAGATTATTATTATTATTATTATTGGAACTATCTTCATACACGAATAATATTATTTGTAATCATTGTTGCGCTTGTGGAGATTTATTGCAAAGCGCCAAATAAATAATGCTTTCTCTCTCTCTCTCTCTTTCTCTTCATCGCTCGCGTTGTTTCGCCGCCTTGTTGACAGCAATAATACAAGTTCAATTTGTCCACCTCTCGGCGCTCCCTCTCTTTCTTTTCTCCACTGCGTTCTTTCACCCACACGGCTGCTGCCCTCGCCTTTCTCCTCTCGTCCCACACGCGTTTTCGCCTCCACACGTGAGACATCCGACGCGTTTTAATTATGCTCCTGGACCGCTGGCCTTTATCTTCGTCCTTTCACAAGATACCCGCACGAGGCGGCACGACTTATTATGTGCCAGTGCCCCGTCCCGTCTCTCGCCCCCTTCTCCTCTCCTCTCGTCTCGTCCTGTTCCGTCCCATATGCTATTCCACGGCGATCGTCCCCATTGAGATCGTCTTAATGTCGTGGCATTAAAGCGCGGAGACTCGGGTGTCAATTTTTCGGCGTGCATAAAAGGGGCATTAAAGCTCCGCGGTTCGAATTTCGTTGCCGCGCCCGTTATAGTGCCGCGGTCCGCGCTAATTGCGTTCCGATGGGCGACAAATTGAAAGCTTTCGATACCCCCTTCTAGTGAAGTTGCCCGCGTTAATGCGATTCGTCGTCCGTCTCTTGCGTCGAGTCAAAATATTTTTTTGCGTTCGACGCATGTTGAGCTTCGAGCCGTGTGAAAACGAAGGAACGAAAATCACGATGTGACCAAGACATTCTTATTTGTACAAACTCGTGAGATGGAACGTAGTTTTTTTTTTTTTTTTTTTACCGTAATAATCTCTGGCGGAGTATTATTTTTGCGCAGCACTTAACTGTTTGATTTTCCCTCCTCAATGAAATCCAATCCATTAAACCGGTATGGCGATATAATTCCGACTGGCCGCAGAGCTATTATCTATGAATTTACGCATCTTCGTGTAATACCTTTTAAATATTTCTATGAACACCAATAAGGGATTAAGCGCGGATCCGCTAGGGAGCCAGTTTGTCGAATAATTTATGATCGAATTATGCCGGTCTCCTCTCTCTCCTCGGCGACCGGCATTAAATTTTCCGCCCATCAATGTTCGAAAAAAGATTAATGAAGCGTGCGCCGTTATAATTACTCGCCTGCCGAGTAAACAGACTTTTTGCATACTGTCCTAGCGCGTTGATAACCTCGTTTGCAAAACAATATACGAACTAACGCAGTTTTAATAGACCAGAACGACGAGGGTGTCACATGGCATTACTCATTTTCGCAACGCTCGTCGTCCCGATGTTCATACTTCAACCATCAAAAGGGTACGCTTATACAACGTCGACCTGGAATCAAGGAAGCGCGTCTCCGATAAAATGTTTCTCCCCGCGAGTCGCA